CTCCTGGTGACCCCAGCTCCCTCCGTTCTTTCCAAGCTGCCCCCCCGTGCCAGCCTGTCAGCGAGCAGATCTGCGGATTATGCCTGGCTCCCCGGACTCCCTCGTCGCTGTCTGGGAGCTTCCTCCGTTCCCTTGGTGCCCACCTGTGCCTGTCCCCCTCCCCAGCTCTCTCCATCCCCTCCCGGTGCCCCCCTGTGTCTCTTCAGCAGTCAGGCCTGCAGATCCTATCGCCCCTCAGCACACTGGTGTTCTTTCTGGGCTCCCCCTGTTATCCCTGGTACTTCCCACTGAGGTCTCCCAGTCTCTCCACCACTCCTCAGTGTCCTCCTATGTTGTCTCCCCTGCTTCCAAAGGCATGTCTGCCCCTTTCAGCTGACCCCCCTGCTCCCTGGGTGCTATGGGGCTTTCCCCAGCCCCATCTCTGCAAGCAAGTCCCTCAGTACCCTGAATTTAGCCCTTGTCTCTGTGTGGTCCCAGGGCACGTGTGTGCTCTCTCCCTGCAGGGTGAAGATGAGGTAGAGCTCTGACCATGGATCATGATGCCCCCACAATCAGGCCCCGCCGCATCCAGAACCAGAATGTCATCCACCGCCTGGAGCGCCGACGGATCAGCTCGGGCAAAGCTGGCACCCACTGGCACCAAGTCCGCGTCTTCCACCAGAACGTCTTCCCCAACTTCACCGTGGTCAACGTGGAGAAGCCACCCTGCTTCTTGCGCAAGTTCTCCCCCGACGGCCGCTACTTCATCGCCTTCTCCTCTGACCAGACCTCTCTGGAGATCTACGAGTATCAAGGCTGCCAGGCCGCGGAAGACCTCCTGCAAGGCTACGAGGGAGAGATCCTGGCCAATGGCAATGACCAAAGGTCTGTCAACATCCGGGGCCGGCTCTTTGAACGCTTCTTTGTCCTGCTCCATATCACCAACGTGGCCTCCAACGGGGAGCACTTGAACCGTGAGTGCAGCCTGTTCACCGATGACTGTCGGTATGTGATTGTCGGCTCTGCCGCGTACCTGCCCGAGGAGCCTCACCCTCCCTTCTTCGAGGTTTACCGCAACAGCGAGTCGGTGACCCCTAATCCCCGGTCCCCCTTGGAGGATTATTCCTTGCATATCATAGACCTCCACACGGGCAGACTTTGTGACACACGGACTTTCAAATGTGACAAAGTCATCCTGTCTCACAACCAGGGGCTATACCTCTACAAGAACATCTTGGCCATTCTCTCTGTGCAGCAGCAGACTATTCACGTCTTTCAAGTAACACCCGAGGGTACGTTCATCGATGTACGGACTATCGGCCGCTTCTGCTACGAGGACGATCTCCTGACTCTGTCTGCGGTGTATCCCGAGGTGCAGCGGGACACTCAGACGGGGATGGCCAACCCCTACAAAGAGCCCTTCATAAACTCTTTGAAGCACAGGCTGCTGGTGTACCTGTGGAGAAGGGCTGAGCAGGACGGAAGTGCTATAGCAAAAAGAAGGTTTTTCCAGTACTTTGATCAGCTGAGGCAGCTCCGCATGTGGAAGATGCAGCTTTTGGATGAGAACCATCTATTTATCAAATACACTAGTGAAGATGTGGTCACGCTGCGGGTGACGGATCCTTCTCAGGTACTGCCTGCCTCCTCGGGCTGCTCGTTGCTTTGGGGCAGGTGCTTAAGCAGGTACAATGCTGTGAACTGCATTTCTTAGCTGAGCCTGTGAGTGTTGTTTAGGATCCCCAGTACTTCATACTTGTGTGAACATTTGACACCTCTGACATTGAGTAACTCTCGTATCTTTTGCTCTCATAATTTCATTGCTTCCTCCTCAACTAAAAATGAGAGAGAAAAGATCTGACATGGTTATTCAGTCCCCTTTCTCCAGGGATTGTTCCCCATGCTCATAGATGCTGTACAACCCTCTTTCGCTCCCAAATCCCCAGCTGATTTTTTTTTAAGTTGGTATTTCATATAGTACACTTACATTGTAGAAGTAGTCTCTCCCTTTTCTCATGTATCTTCAAGCATGTTTTTCAAATATAACGGTCTTCATTTTTCCCCAGTAGAATTACTTTTTCTGTTCTGCCTACATACTTACTCCTTCAAGCTTCATCGAGAGATAGTATTTATGATCTCTCCAAATTGGAGTAGCAGCTCTTAGATCTAGGTAATGTGCCAATTGCTTCTGCTTTCAGTTTAGTACTAAAGAAGTCGAGTTAGAGCAAATGTAGCTCAGCCAGTGCTGGGCCCCTCCAGGTGTTTCACTATCCCACAGGTTGATCATTTCTTTTCACTACTGTTAGAGTGGTGGTCAGGTTTTGAGCTCTGTGAAACTGGGAAGAATGTTTTTTTTAACCTGTTCTGTCCCTTTAATCTGCTTGGTTTTTATTCTGTTGAAGGTATTTAGTAAGAATTCGTAACAAATCTCCAGTGCTGCATGTAGGTCTGATTGTTCCCTAGACTTCCTTTCTCTTCCTGCCTATCTGCCAGATACAGGACTTAGATCCTAGAAGAAATGAACAGTAGTTCTTTGTGTAATGCCTTAGTCTAATTTTTCCTGGAAGATGACTCTAGTTTGTTTTATTTTTTTCTTATGTGACGTTTATTTGGGGGAGTTACTTTGGGAGGGAATAGGTAAGGCTTAATCTAATCAATTTTACACATTTGTCTAAAACTGAGCAGCTGTCTCAAAAATATTAAAGCTTTGTGGAGCTGGCCTGCAGCGTTCTGCTCATTGCTGCTATCTGGAATGGTGCTCCTGACCCTGATGTAAAAGTTTGTGGTAGGCTTGGCTCCGCGCTCTGCTGTGGTTACCAAGGCTTTTGTGCCTGGTTTGCTGCAGCGTACTCTTGACTCCCTTCACCCGAGGGTTACGTTAAGATGCAGGCAACAGTTTGTTTGTGGTGTTTGTCAGGCGGTGTGTTTTCTGCTGGAGGAAAAGCATTTTATTTCTCAGTTCTATCAGGAGATAATTCCAGATGTGAAGCAGTCTCCGCAGACCTGCCTGAGCGTAGGCTTTCTGTTAGGGCTTCCTGAAGAAAACTTGGCTCACAAAATACCTAAAGCTCTGATTTTTCTTTCATCTGTCAGAGAGGAACATGAGGTTTCATCTAATTCCAGGCTTCTCTCTTCTCTCTGGCTTCCCTGCCAAGAAGGTTGAGGAAGTTGCTGTTCATGCTTGTGGGTTGCTTGTATACTGTGAGGGTCCGTACACCGAATCCTTCAAGAATTTTAATCGCATGCTGTGTATATGTAGCTTGGGCTTGATGGTTGTTGTTGTTCTAGGCTTGTGTTGATAGACTTGGCAGCTTTGCCGTGTGATTTCTGTGACACTCGACTTCTGCCACCCATGCTGTGACAGTGTTTTGCCTGTGTTACAGGTGCTGCTAAAAAGCAGCAAGGGTAGTTTCGCTGGTCAGGGGCATCCTGTAGAAGTGTCTATGTGTTAACCTGGCAAAGGAACTTTTTTATTGAAGGTTGGAGGATACTCCCTTCAATCTTCAATGATGTAAATAGTTTTTCCCTCTGCTGTCTCCTCTTATTTTCTCTCTGCTCCAACCCTGTATTTCAGAAGGGCTTCCCTTTCCTCAGGCAGTAGTCTAGTGAGTAACCTCATCTAGTGTGCTTCATTTTGACATGTGGGGGCTGGATTGTATTATCACAATTTATTTTGGGTCTGTAAAACAAACCAACCTTGTGATATTTGCAGGTGGGTGGGGTGGGCAGAGTGCCTGCCGTCATCCCTGAGCATTGTTTGGGAGCAGGAGGTGAAGCAGTTAGAAATTGCCTTTATTGACGGAAGATTTAACCAGATATGTGCATATACCATGGGAATTAGTTACCTTTGAAGTAAGGGCAGGTGCTTACTTTGGGGTGCTGGGGTGTTAGTGCTCCTGTCTCTAACGAAAGCTACCTTTGATGACCAAGGGTTAAATCTGCCCTTTCCGAATGGGGTGGGAATGTCGTCTCCATTTGATGTAGCTGTGCTGACACAGTGTCACCTTTTTCCTGATTTCTTGCTCGTTCGTGCTATGAACCACTGCCATTGCCAATACACAGCGTGGTACCTGGGCCTTCTTGCATGAGAATGTTGGCATTAAAAAGAAGTCATTAATGTCTTTCAGATTTTCATTTCTGTGCTGGCAGGGTACCTGGAGGGCACAACTTTTTGTGGGCAGTGGTGTAGTGCACAGTACACTAAAAAGGCTCATCTCTGTGTGATGGAAATATTAAGAAGGGGAAGAAAATAATGTCTCTCTGCAAAGGAAAAAATAATTTGTGGCCAGTTAGCACTGGATTTAATATAATTTTGTCAGCAGG